GTGGGGGCGGGGCAGCCGGGGGGTCTCCCCCGGAGCCGCAGCGGGAAGGGTTTGCCTTGGGTCTGCGCTTTGCTCTCCTGCACTGCGCACACAGAGTCTTCTCCCCCAGTGCTTTCCTCACCTCCACAGAGTGAAAATGCATGCACTTATCTTGCGGATAAAACTTTGCTTTCTCGAGAAACCTCTAACGTGCTTGGTCCACATTTCCACGCTGGGGAGGAGCGTGATCTTATTCTTTCCCTTAGAACTACCATCTGATCCTTGCCATCCACCCCTCTGAGACACAAGGAGGGCCCTTCTCCATCAGCAAAGGGTGGGCAGCTGTCGGCGGGGCTCCCCAGCCGGACCCCCCTCTGCCACGGTGCCCTGGCACTCGGCGGGGCTGCTCTCTCCCTGGGTGCTGAGGCTGCGGGGGTCCCGCTCCGGTCCCCCCATGACGGGAGTCCCAGCGCCCCGCGGTCCTGCAGAAGGTGCCAAGCCCCACGGGAGTCTCTGCAGCGCTGGCCAGGTACCAGTCCTCAGCCTAGGAGTCAGATTAACCAACGCTTTGGACTTGTTTTCGGCTATTATGGTCAATATATTAAAGGTATTTATTTAAGAAAGTGCCTATCCTGCCAATCTTTCCCCATGAGCTCTATTTTGAACACACCCTATAATTACTGATATTACCCTGGCAAATTTTCCCCATGAAGTTTTCTCCACTAAGAGCCATGACCGTACTTGTCTGCCTCTCCACATTATAATTATCACCAGGCAATATTTATAACTATACTATTATTATTTATGATATTTTATGCCCTACGAAAACCTATATGACATATGCTCAAACTTCAGCATCTGAGACATTCAGACTTCAGCTGGGACATTCCCTTCAATTTGTGTACTTGTTCTTCTTACATCTGCACTAACAGGCTAGTTGGAGTATTTATTGTAAACGCAGGAGTCCCGTCAGTGTGAAACCTGCAGGACTTGGGTTGGACTCCAGCTCAACATATCTAAACTTCCCATTGTGATCTCTTTCATACTTTTTTTTCCCCAGTTGGTGCACATTTCAGGACTTCTGATGGTTCAAGCTAGAACTATATATCATAGATTCTTGCTGAGGCGAGATAATTAACTAAAGGAGTGCTTAATTATTCCAGATGGACAATGGAGCACAGCACATTTATGCCTCATGCAAAACATAAATAAACAGAACAGAATGAACAACACATGTTTGCCAACCATGGTCTAGACTTGAAATTTGGCACTGCAATACTTACAAACAAATGTAAATGTTTTATCCTCACACTTCAAAAAAAATTAAATAAAACTCTGTCTTATAAGCACCTTTAGTTTTAATTATTTAAGATCAATACTAACCTAAATGCCTCTGTCCCTAACATGCATCTCCTCTCCAGGGTCATAGACCTTTCTTCTTATGAAATCACTGGCTTTCTCCACAAATATTACTGTTAACCAGTTTCCTCAGTATCATATGCATAAGGGCTATAAACTAATGAGCAGATCTAGGTTATGTAGAAAAAGTGTAGAAAGGAAACAAATGTTGAACGTCACATTTACATTAACTTCTCACAGTTCAAATGGCAATTTATCCACAACATAGTATGAATCATGCAGTAAGAAAAGGGAGGAATCTCCAGTTTCTTTGATTTATTTGTCATATGGTCGACTGATGTCAGTATCAGTGGCTTTAAAAAAAAAAAAAAAAGTTTAAACATCCAAAAGAAAGGAAGAGAGAAAGGAGGAAAAGGTCTAGCTTTCCGCAAAATCCATTTCCTTTACAACGATGAGCTCAAACCAAACCAAACCAAAGGCTGCTGACGAGCAGGGTCTTCTGTTCCTTCCGTGCTTGTCTCGTGGTCTGGTGCAAGCTGGGAATGAAGGGTATGGGACTGGTGGGTGCATTTTGTTTATATATATATGTATGTATGTAGGTAGGTATTAATATATATATACATACATACACATATATGCACACATAGTCTTCCTAAAAAGGCTCTTTGCAGTCCAGAGGCAGCAGGAGTCACTGTGAAGGAAGAGCTGGGCAACATATGGCTGTAGAGTCTGCACTTGAAAAAGTCACTGGCTAAATATATGCCGACTGTTTGTTTTCTTTTATTTTCATGAGGCGAAATACGAGCTCTGCATAGAGTACAGCCTGTCAATGGGGTTTCCTACTCTAGCCTGCATGGAGTTAACTTCGGAAGAGGCAAGAAAACAGTCGCTCAAGCTAGTTAAAGAGGTATCACTGTCGATATCATGAAAAATGGAGTCGTTTCCTGCAAATGAAATGTATGTGTTAAGCTGGATTCTGCGCAGCCAGAGGATGACACAGTACACACGGACGCTCATATGCTGCACACTGCAGCGAAAGGGAATGCTCTGGGTTTTTACACATTAACGTAATTTTGCTCTAAGGGTCTGACCTACAAAGAGGAAGGCTAGCAACCAATTCACAGGGTTCAACTAGCAGCACTGCCACTCAAATCTGCCAGGATTTAATTTATACTTCAGTCAGCAGCACAAAAGAGAGTCTTGGCTGACGATGGGAGCAAACGGTGCTGGGGAGGAGCAGGTCCCTGGCTCTCCATGAGCTGGGATCCAGCATTCACGGGGGCACCGGGGCCACCGAGGAAGGTGGGACCAGACACGGAGTGCCCGCGACAGGGAAAAGCGGTCTGAGAGCCATAACCCGTAATGGTCGTCATTTACACACACAGTAAAGGACAGATGCAGGAATGCAACGGGACCCAGGAGGAGACCCAGCTTCCCTGGCCTCAAGTGAGCTACAGTTGTAAATATGCTTTCATTTCAGAAAATTCCACTCTTTTTGGGCTGGTTTGGAACAGCACCTTTTATTTTCCTTATCAATTAAGATTTCAGCTTACTTCAACTCTTAAGGTACCAGAAAGAGCTCTAGCTCAAGTCCTGTGAGCACTAAGAAAGTGTTAGTCCAGCACTTTTTCCCCATGCACTCATTTGAAACGGCTTTGTGCTATCTCCTGCGCTGGTTTTGGAGCACAGAAGCTGCATCTCAAGGAATTTTGCTTAGAAAGCCAAGCAAGTTGTTAGCAACAAAATCACAAGCCATCTAATGCTCACTGGCACTTCAGATGCCCTCAGCTCCTTAGAGAATTTACCAAATTGCCTGGCGTGTACTGTGGACTTGTCTCAGTGGGAACAGTAGTAACACAGACCAAAGCAGATTTCTCGTTGGCCTGCGCGTGCTGTGCTCATGAAAGTGATATGCACGTGGGCCTCTGCAATGAAGTGCTGCTGGTCAGCAGAAACGAGTCTGATGTAACAGGCCCTTGTGGGCTACAGCAAGGCCAACAATCACAGTCTGAGAAATCCTCTTAAATTTTATTTACATGCCACACTGCAATTGTCCAGAATCAATTATTAGGCATTTAATGCTTGTGATGCATTTGGTGTACCTATCCACTTGATGATGTGTGGTCAGGAAATTGTGAAAGCAAACCACCGTCTTGATTTTGGGCAGAAAATAAAATTACACAGGAGAAATGTCCTGTGGTGACACATAGCTTAGTAGCTCAAGAACTGTTCTTTAACAAATCCATGCATCCAATCTGAGGGATCTTAGAGGGGTGCTTATTCATTTTTGAATGAATAGATTACTTCTCTTTATTAGACCACTTTTCAAGGCACTTTTTTCCCAAAGCTTCTAAGAAAAATGAGAAACTTGTGAGGGAGCTAGAATTTGGTACTGTTTATTTTTCAGTGTCTTAGATAGTGGTTTAAAAAAGTGAAGCTGGAGAGGTGGTGTTGCTTGGTTTATCATTTGTCAGAATTATACTGTGAAATGGTTCTGAAGGGTATCCAGAGCCTCGGATGACCTCTCTTCTACCCCCTTAGGTGTACATGAAAATATACACAACAAAAGTGACTGGTACAAATCCCCGGGTACAAATCCCAGAAAAGATATTATAAAAGCAAGTAACTCTACTGAACCTTTGGCGTGTGAACTAGCATACGAACCCTGCTATTTCTGATGCGGCAGAATGACGCATGCCTTACCATAAGGGTTCATGTGGTCGCCTGGCATTTGTGGAGGGGTAAGACCCTGCTGAAATGGGTCTGTGCCATAACTGCTTTGATCCATTGCTACAATCTGCTGCTGTGGCGGTGCAAGTGGTGTGTAAGATGTCATCATCCCTTCCATTCGGTTGGACATTACTTCTGCAAAGCAAAGAGGAGGGCACAGTCACTGCTTAGGAACAAAGAGGCAGCAGACAGTAGCATCAGTGGCAATAGTGAACCTGAGTGCAGAGTGAACGCAGCTAGGTGTGTCCTGTCATTCAGAGGAGCCTTCTGAATTTTGTCTGAGAGTACAACCCCGAGCAGTAAGTCGGAAGACTTGCAATTTCTGACTATATCATTTCTGGAGCTCCAGGGTGCTGGACCGTATCTTCCCAAAGTCTGTCCTGTGCATGACATAGCCCTGTTGCTGTCTGACTTTGGTTGGTGCCAGTTTTTCTGGCTCTGCCTAAAGGGGAGGATTTGAGGCTGCAAGGCCTTGGGAGTTGGAGAAGCTCAGGAGCATCCACGGAGCAGCAGGGCAAGCCCTGGCGCCTCTGTGCAGCTCCTGCCCCAGCGGCGGGGGCACAGGAAGGGCTGCCTGTGCCTCGGCTGCGGCAGCGATGCCGACGCCCTTGCACGCAGTCTGCAGATGCTGAGCTGAGCATGGTCCCCCTGTCTTCAGGAGGAAACAAACTGGAGGATCTACCTGGAGTGAGCCTCCTGGAGATTTCCTCCAGTGAAAGCGTCTCTGTACTGCACGCTTCTTCTAGAAAGGAGGGAACAGCTTCTGTGTAAGCACCTCCAGGGTCTGGTCCCATGGGAGAACTCTAGGATAACCCGGGGTGGGCACTCAGACACAGCACCCCTGTGTGTTTCCGCTCAGGACGGCACACATTACCCGCAGACTTGCACACGCCCTGTATGGCTGTACTTAATTACGTGAGAATGGCACCTCAAGAAACTTTGCAGATTCTTTTCCCCTTGCTTTTCCTTCGTACAAATCCCCTACCTTGCCCTAGTCGCTGAGAATTTTGCTGCTCCTGCTGCTGCTGATGCCTTCGTGCTAGTTTTTTCATCTGAATAAAAGAGGAAGAACAGAACAATCTCATGGCTCTGAATGCACCAACATCGTTTCCTTACAAAACTCTCTGCAAACATCGAATCAATTAATACAGACCATTTATATTCATGCACACACCACCATGTGTTCAGTTTCATTTCTAAGCTTAAACATTTCAGTTTCCAGTTCATATTTGCATACAAAATTTACTCCCAACTTCATGTTGCTTTGAGCACATGAACTTAATGTCTGTGTTTGAAAGTTGCCTTTCTTGTATGGATGTAGACAGCAGTGCATGCAAAATACGTACAGTTCAGTCCCTGGGATCTCTGTGGTACGTACTATGTCTAGGGGGAGGGGGAAATCTGTGTTGGAGGACGATTTGCATTTTACTTTTGAGAACCTGACAAACAACCTACCTTTGCTCTTTGGTTTTGAAACCAGACCTGGACAACTCGCACACTGAGTCCTGTTTCAGCTGCTAGTGTTTCTCTGACCTACAGGAGGAAATGAGGAAATGTTACATGATATAATTTTTTATACTTTTTTAACAAGCTAATCAGTTATGTTAGGAGGAATATGCCTGTACTTAACAATAAAAACTGCATGTACAGAATTACTTTAAAAAATTTCTCGTATTTTCGCATAGTTTGTTCAAGTTCTGCCCTTCATGTCGCTACCAGTTTCATAAGTACCAAACAAATAATCTGAGCTGTATAAAATGACACTAAGTCATTTCATGATTTTTATTTTACCCATAAAAAAGTTCTCTGCAAAAAGATACAACTTTGGCTAGGAACATTTTTTATATTTTTGAGGTACGATTTCATACTTTAAAACAGCAAAAAGGCACATTGCACTGTCGCAAAAGACATACTTCATACGTCAGCAGGAGAATGTCACTTTTTGCAAAAATGACAGCTTTCAGGATGCAACCCCTTTTTTTTCCAATCAAACTTAGGAGGAAACAGTTACCTGGGTTGCTTTTTGCAAAGATTTGATTTTCACCAGCTTCAGTGGTGAAGCAATACGTTATAACTTTCCCTAGTTGCTATGAACAAGATCAACAGTAGGGTTAAGCTCCATAAAAAAGCAAGACTGGAAGGACAAGTAGTGGGACCGAAGCTGAGCACCCGTCTTGCTAGATAGTGACTCCCTCTGCAGTGGGAAGGAGAATGGCAAAAGCTACTTGTTTACCTGGGCTCTGACAGTCAAAAGACTACTTCATGGTTTACAAGACCCAAGTGTCGTTGTTCCGCAGGAATCCGGCATGGAGCTGCTCCCCATACTGTGGGTGAATATCCAGAAATAACAATGAGCTGGTCCTAAGCTGCTGATTGCTCCAGGCTGAGACGCTATTTGGGCGAGCGTCGCCATACGCTGGCCTGGTTTCTGTATTCGCTTCAAGGCGCCTGCTGCTGTCCCGGGAAGGGGCAGGGGGCTACCCGGAGCTGTGGCCTGACCCTGTCACCCCCGTGGCTTGGTGTCAGAGCTGACTTCAGTTCCCCGATGAAGCACCTACCTTCCTACAGGGCTTGGAAGACACTTCAAAGGATGCTTTGAATGCTCGTCTCTGCTGCGTAGTAAGTATTGTCCTTGGTCGTTTAGGTCTTCTTGGGTCCTTCCCATCATCACTTCCTTTTCCTTGGGTTACTTGTCCTTTGGTGGGCTTTACATCTCCGTCTTCATCATCACTTTTAACTGGTGAAAAATAAACAGGATATAAAATTGTACTTGTTCCACCAAGATAACAGGGTGTTTGAGAACTGCTCTTCAGCTGCCAATCAAGTCAACAGGTTCAACTATTATCCCATGTTTATTTGGATGCCTAAAGTAACCATGGCAGGAAGAGACTATCTTAGACTTGTGTGCAGAGCCTAAATCAAATGCCACAAAAGCATAAAAATGTGTTTAATTTTTAATTGAGGGCATGGGACTGATCAGGGGTTGGAAATTCAGAATATGCTTCAGTATTTCCAGGAGCTGGGACAGAGAGAGACTTTGTGCCCTTCCAGCATCGCTTGGTCCCTGTGTGCTCCCCTGCTGCAACCACACCAACTGGCACACACGGTTCCCTTCGCAGCGGAGTGGCATCTTCTCCCAAAGCACTAGCTGCAGACAGGTACTACTGCCCACACTGCCATGGCAGCGGAACAGTGTAAATGCAAATGTCACAAAAATATCTCAAAGTCTGTTTAGCTAAATATAGCGTAGATTCCACTTATTGTTCTGAATATTTTGAAGATCTAGAGATAATATCAAATATAATCTTTGCCATCTCATTTCTGCATCCCACAGAAAACATCAGTATTCTTTCTCTGTATATGTCAATGTGTCTATAGTGCATGCAACAAATTTCTCTTTCTTGCTAAACACATATAAGTATATATGTGCTTGTGTAGACCAAATAGATTATTTGTATTTTCTATAGTTAAATTCTGAATATTTGTACAATCTGGTGCTATTACATGTGTTAGAATATTGTAACTGGGAAATCTCAATCGCAGTGGCAAAGGTTGAAGAGTAAGTACAAATTTGGTTATGAAAAACAACTTTTCAACTCAGCATATTTTATTTCACCAGACCACTGATTTTTCTTCCAGAAAACATTACTATATTATTATAGGGACTTCAACATGAAGAAACACACTGCAATTTTTATATACTCAAAGATTACGTTTGGGGAATTAACAAATTAGACTTTAATTCATTTTAGGGTCTGATTATTATGCACCTAGCAATCTAATCACCTTTTACTTTAATAAGCATCTTTTGCCTAATGATTAAAGAGAAGTTCAGTCATTTTAATAACCATGACATTATTAACTTTCCAGTATGCCATTTCTAAGGAAAGGTTTATGAGGATTAATATTGCTCATTGGAGAGTTACTTTTGTGTCCAGTGGATAAATATTTGATTGGAGAAGGACACATTCTCAGCCAGGGCTATGTGAAATCATTTGCTCTCACACAGGCATCTGGGAGATCCGTGTTTTCAATGTATTAGACAATGGGAGAGAAAACATCCCATTTAATTTGTCAACTTGTTTTTCAGGTTTGGGTTTGGCTAACAGAGAATAATGAGGAAAAAAAGCATCTCCAGGAGTAAGAAACTATCCCTTGTGCCAAGGGGAAATGAAATTGAAACCAAGGCTGTTTTGTGCCGCTGTGGTAGCTTACTGCTGATCACAAAATACAAAATCTGGTCCTGAAGGAGAGCCCACCCGTGCCCCAAGCAGATCTCAAACGCAGCCGGCTGGCAAACAGCAGCCACCGGCGCCCGCGCGGGGAGCGAGGAAGGCAGGGGAGGACGGTCCCCATGCCCACCGCCGCAGCGAGGGGACAGCCCCGCACACGCAGAGCTGTGCCTGGACACAGCAGGATGCTGAAGCTGGCAATGAGAGAATGACAGGCTGGAGGGCGAGTAGGAAACTCGCACGCCTCGGGCAAATTCACAAAGAGCCCGAACCCTGTGACGTGAGGTTTACAGAGCAGAGCACTCAAGGTCCTGCACATCCAGTATGGCAATAAATAACATGCTGCTCCAAGAAAGGCCCCGGTCCTGCACGTCATGCTGAGTCAGCAGTGACCTTTGTCTTGCAGCATTCCTGACGTGAAAATATAAATTTCAGCCATGTGGAGAATATGGCTCTCAGATTAGAGATTAAGGATAATTACTGCTCCCAGCTAAATTGGAATAATGCATTTTCCCATAAACCAGAGGCAAACATTCATGTCATTTGTACGCTTAATGGAATGCTAATTGTTGATTTTCTTAGACATTTTCTTGGGAAACAAGTGCGCAATTATGATGGCTGCCAGCAACTGGTGTACATGCTGTCTCTAGTCTTGGGATCAGCCAGGGTGCACCGGCAGCAGGAGGTTTCCAGTCTCCTTGCGTGCATATGGCACAGGAAGGAGGCATCCCGTCTCTCCTGGAACTGCCTGTGAGCCTAAAGCCAGTCCTCACTGTAACCACTGACAGATCCCCTAGGTTTTGGACTGGAGAACCCAAATCCAGCATGTGAATTATTTGTCCTGAGCAGTACTGTGTTTCCAGCCCTGGACAGGCAGCAAGCAGCTTTTGCTCGCTGTCTTGTAAAACCTTCCCTAGGAAATGGGTGGAGGAAAGGAAGCATGTGAAGAACTCAGGGAAGACATGTCAGCTGCTATCAGGTGTGAAGGCTCTACTGGCTTCTTCAGGAGAAGGCAAAAGCTCTGGTCGCAGTATGGTGACTCTTGGCCTTAACTCCCAGGCCAAGTGGCGCAGACTCTTGCAATCGTACTCTTCAAACCCCAGCTCCCTCTGAAGAGAGAGGCCACACTGCAGATTAGTAGTAGTGCATTTTAGTAAGATATTGAGCCTGTCGTCCCTTGATCCTAAACAGTTTGCATTCATCAGGAACAGTGCAGGACCTCAAGGACACTCTTGGAGATGTGGAACAGGCAAACCTTGCATGTCTCACTTCTGTACTGCCCGCGGCATACAAGCCGTAGTGGAGCATCCCTGGGACAACACATAGATCATCTCCTAGGTCGACACCAGAATGGGGCTCAGACACAAACCAGCAGGTAGGCAACAGAGATGATCAGAAACTAGAGCCTTAGTAGCACAGAAGAGACATACAGCCAGGGAGAAGTCTGGATGGACGTCAGGAGAGCCAGGCATTGTACCTGGCCTGAAAGCATGCAGAGACAGATTCCCCTAAACTCCTCATTCAAGTTACTGCTTTTTCTTTTTCTTTTTGTGTGAGCCCCCTTGCCTGCCTTAATGGGAGGGGGTACGCAGGCAGCCTTGCCAAGCAGGGAGCTGCCCTGGCCTCCTGTGCTGCACATGCTATTGCTGCAGCGCAAACCCACTTCTCGGTTTCTTTCAGATTCTCCTCAGTACTTCTGTGTTGTACTTGTAGTTCTTCTTAAAGTCACCATTTGTGATTGGCAGAGGGAATACTCTTGAAAATCATATTACAGCTTTGCCCATTTTCCTAGCTCAGTGCTGAAAGTGTGTGTGCAGAAGATCCCCTGAAAAATATGTTAAGTGGATGGAAGAACGCCTATGGAAAACAGCACACTTTGAATGAGGCCTCAGGTAACTGAAGTTGGTCTGATTCACGTTTTGTGATCTTACAGAAAAATACCTTGACGAAAACAAAAAGGTTCTGTCCTTTGCTAAGCAGCAAGTTAAGGAAGGAAGTCAAGTTAGGGAGAACAGACTGCAAGTAGGGATTTTTTTAGCTGTGCCTGCTAATTTGCATGGGTAGCATGTGCATATAGATAAAATGGGATGTGTAAATGGATATACTTTTCTGTAAGAAAGCTCTACAAACCCTTGCGGCTTTTCCAGTTGGAGCAGGTGTGGGAAAAGCTCACCTGAGTCTGAGTCGTCTGGGCTGACCGAGCTCAACAAGTCTTTCTCTTTTTCATAGTCACTTTTGCAGAGCAACTGTCCTTCCTTAAGAACAAATTCGTCCCCTTTCCTCAGCTGTCGTTCGCAAACGCAGCAGCAGAAGCAGCTTAAGTGGTAAACACACTCCAGGGCTCTCATCACAAATTCTGTTGGAGCGATCTTTTCCATGCAGCCACTGCACTTAGCAGCAAACAGCCTGTAAGAAAGAGAGGCAGTAAAGTCAAAGGGAACTTCAGATCATACACTGCATGAATTTAAACACAGCAAATTCTTTAATTTAACTACAGATCAGCTTGGCTCATGCTTTTGCACACTGGGAGACTTGCATCCTTAGTCTTGGAAACATCACAGGCAGGCAATTTATTCAAATTTCAATCCCTTTGGTCTAGAGATTCCCAAATCACCTTTGCTGGATAAAAAACACTAAGACTTGTCCTTATCACACTGTTTTGTTCCTCTTCAAAAAGAGAAACAAAAAGGAGCTCTCAGAGTTTGGATAACTTGTTCAAAACCAAATTTATTTTAATTCACCTTTTAGAGAAGGGACAATTCACGCTTTGTTTTATACAGGCTCTCTGGTTTCAGCACTTAAACACTATTCTGACTAGATTTCATGACTTTCCATTTTTGGTATTGTCTGTCTCTGAGGAGGCTGATAAATGAACACAGAAACAAGCATGAAAACTTAGTGCTTTTGCTGAGGAGACACACACACACACACGCAATCGCACACATGCAATTGATAAAGAGAGGAGTGAAATAACATGGCTTTTCTTTGGATGTTGAGTTATTCCAGAACAACCTGTCTCTGAAGAGAGTACTGTGCATTTTAAATGGTGTGAAACATCCTTTGGCAGAGATAGGCAGTGATACAATCTGCTAAATTACCACTATAATCACAGGCTCTAGAATATACGCTGTATTCCAGACTAGTTCTTATTAAACCTTTATAAACCCCCTCTTTCATCCGTCATTAATTTTCTAAGATAAAGTTAGAATGATTTAGATTAATTTTATTTTGCTTTTCTAATGGCAACTGGGAATCTCCCTAAGTGAGCTTTTAGGAAGAGGGCTGCTTCAAATAAAGATGAATAGCTAAGTTACGTCCCTGTATCACACAGTGGGCTTGGTGATTTGAAATTCAGTGTCTTTTATGGCAATACATCAAAGTGCAAGGTGCATTAATATTTACATTTCGGCAAGGAAATTAACACAACTGCACCCACGTGTTCACAGGAAAAAAGGAGATTTCGCCTTTTAGGATGGGGTGCGCTGATTTTTTTTTTCATCCTCAAAATTATCCCCTTTTTTATAAAAGGCAATTATCTTTGATTTTAGAAGGCACAGGCTGTGGTAGTTACTGATTCCTCCAAAGCCTCCATTTTGTCTGAGCTGAGAAGTACAGCAAAATGGCAGTCACCAGCTCCTCAGCAAAATGATGGAGTCACATAATGGGCAGGAGGGAAAAGAAAAGGTAAATACATTTGCATACGGCATCCAAAGAAAGGCTGAGCGCCCAAGAAATTGTGGGTTTTCCCTATCTGTATCTTCCGATTTAATAAGAGCGCTACCCTATTAACCTTGCTGGCTCGGTGCGCACCTTTGCAGGACCACAGCCACAAGATACCAGCCGTGCGCTGTACAGGCCACGCGAGGTTGGACCGAGTGGCTCTTTTTTGGGTACATAATGAATTAAATCCATTAAAGGGAAACTGATGCCACGCAGGACCGACAGCCGCTGCTAGTAAACGGGCCGTCTTATTTCATACCGGTTATTGGGTTTGTCTGCAAGGTTTTTCTTCTGTTAGATGCAAACTTTAACAGACAGAAAGAAATACGATTTTATGCTCTGACTAGTAAACATCACAAAAATATGACAATGCTTCAGTTAGCAAATTCCTAAGCAGGAAATTTTTTTATCTGTACGTAATAACGTATCTGAAAGGATTAAAACACAGAGGGGAAAAAAGAGCAAACAGATTTTAAGCACTTTAAAAAGTTGTTTCTATTTAACTGCTTAAACCTATTTGACTCAGTTTAATTAAGCTTGTATCTTTTGTCCGAAGACCGTTGTTACGATAGAGCGCACTTGAAGAGCCCAAAGCTCAGCAACTCTGGTGTGCAGGCACACAGCTGCCCCGACGGATGGGTGCGCTGGTACCACTGTGAGCGGCGCCCGCACGGCCCCCGCACACCCGAGCACTGGTACCACTGCGAGCGCTGGTACCACTGCGAGCGGCGCCCGCACGGCCCCCGCACACCCGAGCACTGGTA